CACTGGGTAGCGCTTCCATCTCTTTATCACAAGATTGTAGGTTCAAGCCACATTTTATAATTTAGGCTGATGTTTAAGGGCAATATTGAGCAAGAGCTGCCATCTTTCAGGTGAGAGATTAACATTCCATTCTTTGGAGGTGCACATCCCAAAGGTCCCGTGGGAAATGACCCAGTGTCATTAATTACTCCTCAGCTTAGATGACTTGGTCATGCATTGCATTACACCTTGGGGAAATCACTGTGAGCAACCCGGATGCTGCATTCCTTAGGTTCCAGTGTTGATAACTCTTGCAAAAGACTAAAATGGTGGTAAACTGCTTTGGGGCATCCTGACGTTGTGACACGCTCTGCGTAAATGTGTATGATCTGCTGCAGTCAGTCTCCTCATATCAAATGTTTTTGCAGTATCCATCCTATGTGCAAAAAGGCTGGTCTAAACCACTCTGACCACGTCAAATTGTGATCAGTCAATATCTTAATTTGAGGGTTAGCCAAGTTTTGTGAAGGGTGCTTCTGACAGATATGGGTGAATACTCATGCACTTGTGAATCAAACTTGTACCTCCACCAAAGGGCAGAGATGTTCCCTGAATTAAGCAGGCAGTATATTTAACGAGGGGCCAAGATTTTATGTGATTTGTTACATTTACATATAGAAAATATTTAATGTCAGTGTTTATCTGAATCTGCTCCACTTTGCCAACTTAGGCTAGGGTATGATTTGATGACATTTTCTGGGACACTTGGGTTCATTTATTAGTGGTATCCAATTTCATGTTTCAGGTGTGTCCCACAGACATCTTTCAGATCATCTTTCGCAGTTGGTGGAAAATACTCTGAATGACTTAGAACAATCCAAGTGCATCAGCATTGAGGATGAGATGGATGTGGCACCACTGAATCTTGGAATGATTGCAGCTTACTACTATATCAATTACACCACAATTGGTGAGTGCTGCAAGGTCACGGAGTTGAGGTGTGTTATTGCCATCTCACAATCAAGTATCTTCAATGATGAGTCAGCTGAGTCTGTTGTGCAATCTCCTTGTACCATTGTGTACTCGAGTGGGCAGCTACTAGATCATAACATATTGCAGTGAGCAAAGTTCTAAAAACATGATTACTTCACTGACTTTGAAAGAATGAGTTTTGTGTTTTGATTTCAGAGCTGTTCAGTATGTCATTGAATGCCAAAACAAAGATCCGAGGTCTGATTGAAATCATCTCCAATGCCGCGGAGTATGAAAATATTCCCATTAGGCACCATGAAGATAACCTCCTGCGACAGGTCAGTGCATACAGAGAAGCAGGCATGTCATGTTTTGCGAGTCACTGGTCACATTTCTGTTACTTTAACTCTGTTTCTATTTCTTGCTTTTACAGTTGTATCAGAAGGTTCCTCACAAACTCAACAACCCAAAATTCAATGACCCTCATGTGAAGACAAACTTGCTCCTTCAGGCGCATCTTTCCCGTATGCAACTGAGCGCCGAACTACAGTCTGACACAGAGGAGATCCTCAGTAAGGTGAGAAGCGAAACTGAAAGTTGAAGTAGTCAAATGTTATGACGTGTACATAACAATTGTTATGCTCCACCCTGGAGCCTTAATAAAGGTTGGTAACCCGCACTGTTTGATCTTCTAACAGGCAATTCGTCTAATCCAAGCTTGTGTGGATGTACTGTCCAGTAATGGCTGGCTCAGCCCAGCTCTGGCCGCAATGGAACTGGCCCAGATGGTGACCCAGGCGATGTGGTCCAAGGACTCCTATTTGAAGCAGCTTCCACATTTCACTTCAGAACATGTCAAACGCTGTACTGACAGGGTGAGGATAGTGAATTCTGTGACAAACGGCTAAATATGGGACTAGGCACACAGTTATGTTGGCGGGATAAATTAAAAGGCAGGTATCGAGAACTGTTCAGACAGTTTAAAGACATAGTTAGGCTTACAGTTGTATTTGTGCAAAGAGTGCAGGACCAGCCACCAGCAACTATGACAACGGACTAAGTGTTCAAGTTGGCCAGCTTGTTTTTTTTTAATGGTCTATATTGGCAAGCAGCAAGTTAGTTGGGAGTTGGGTTGACTTCACAGCATGGGGATAAAAGAACAGATGATGAAATGAATGAATCAGTAACTTTGAGCAAAACCTTTGAGCGTCTGACATTAATTATTTTTTTTCTACGTCTTTGGTTCTCTGCTTATGAAATTTGTCAGAAACATCGTCTTTGTTGCTGTACTAGAAAAAAACTAGTTGAGAACTGAGGTGATCTACAGGTCTGAATTTGAGTCATGTAACATTATGCAATTTTCTTCCAGGGGACTGACAGTATTTTTGATATCATGGAAATGGAGGATGATGAACGCAATGCACTGCTCCAGCTCTCTGATGCACAGATGATGGATGTTGCCCGGTTCTGTAACCGGTACCCCAACATTGAGCTTTCCTATGAGGTGATTGACAGGGAAAATATCAAAAGGTAAGTGTTGTTAATGAAAAATGACCTGGGCTCAGAGAACGTTACGTCCTTTTCAGGTGGGATGTGAATTTAAATCTAGCCCAGCTGCAGAGATTAGAATCAAAGTTCCTGTTTGTCCCATGTTTTTCACGGAAACTGACTGCACGTTGCCAATGACAAAGGGTAAGAATTGAACATATTCGGTAGTTACGGAAATGGATATTACCGAGTCTACGAGAGATAAGGGTTACATTTTTATTCACTTGTAAAGGAAGTCTCCAAACTCCAGATATAGACTGAATTTTTCCAATGGATAGTTACACACAGAGGATACTGGAAGCCGAGTCTCCCATAGTTTGAAAGAAGGAAAGTCAGAAGCAAGCTAGGCTTTATTTTATTGGGTCAATGGAAATGGGAGAGTTAAGCATCCCCAACTAACAAAACAAATCGCAGAGATTGGAATAGTTATGCAACTTCCAGATACTCATCTTAGATAATATGCTTCTTTGTTCAGTGGTTCCTCAGTCGTAGTGATGGTACAGCTGGAGCGTGAGGAGGAGGTGACTGGGCCTGTCATTGCACCCTTATTCCCTCAGGTGAGTCCATTTAGCAGTACGGAAATTATTTCCAAGCATCCATCTTGGATTCTGATGTTTGCTGACAAATTTATGTTCTATCTCCTTCAGAAACGCGAGGAAGGTTGGTGGGTGGTGGTTGGAGACCCCAAGACAAACAGCCTGATATCCATCAAGAGACTGACCTTACAACAGAAGGCAAAAGTGAGTTTCAGCACTGGGGTGGGGGATGGGAAGGATTCTTAATGCTTTAATCACATGAGGGGTGACTTGGAACTGCAAGGTATCTGATACTACAGCATATTTTTCTTCGATGTGGACTCAAAGCTTTGTCGGTTGTCACTTAGACGAAGGGCATAGATTAAAATGAGGAAACATTTCTACCCGAAGTGCAACAAGTTCAGAACTCAATTGTGCATGTTACAGAAAATTTCTGTTAATCATGCTATTGATGATAATGGGATAAAGATAGGCTTAAAAGGAGTGATAGGCTCCACCTGTTTATGTAATTTCAACATAACTTGTTCGAGAGCTAGTTTCCCTGAGCCATAAGTTGGAATGAAGTACAGAACTGCTCCATTCTGTGCTGTTTCAGCCATTCATCTGTTACAGTAACATGACTAACATTTTCCCCTGTTAACCACAAGCAATTTCTGTATAGATGGAGTCATCAGTAACTGACTTGAAGTTGAGAAAGTTGATAATGGTTGTACTTGTGTGTTTTAGGTGAAACTCGATTTTCTTGCACCAGCTCCAAGTACCCAACATTACACACTGTACTTCATGAGCGATGCGTACATGGGCTGTGATCAGGAATACAAATTCAGTATTGATGTCAAGGAAGCGGATAGTGAAGGCGAGAGTGACTCTGACTAAGCTTCCACGTGCGATCTGTGTCATTGTGAAAACTTCTCTGAAGATCTTCAATGATTGAGAGATGGGTACATGCTATTCTTCTGTAATGACTAGGGAGCATGTTCATTCTAAGCAACATCGCTTGACACCAGTTCAGTTTCTACAGTTTAGAGTAACGATTTTGAATGTAGAGTTGCAATAGTTTCATTTGTTATAGATGTTTTACGAATTGTAGTTGGATCAAGGTTTGGCTACCTGTGTTTTTTTTTTAAACCCTTACATGCCCCTTGGTAATGTACAGTTTTTAAGTTTTATTCAGTCTGAAGCAAGCTGAAACCTTAATTATTGTGATGAAATGTTGGCCAGAATAAATGTTTAATATTAAATCCACTGGTTTCTGTTACAATCACTAGTGTTTCAAGTGACAGTTCCCACATTTAGTCCTGGTGCCCTGTTCAGCTGTTAGCGGTCCTTTGTATCCAGTTCCTTTGCATTTCTTTCCATGAGAAGGATTGTAGATTTTGACTGAACTTTACGGAAACTACACATTCAGAAATTGGACCAGTGTGATTCAGTTTGAAACTTAGTGTCAAGAACTGTGAATTGATAACTACCAGTTTATAAATCTCAAACAAATGGCATGATTCAGCACTCTTTATCCTCCCTTCTGACTGAAGGTCATCTATGATGTAGAAGTCTTAGTTAAAATTAACACACCCCTAAAAAATCTGTCACAGGGCTATATGCACGAGCTGGGAACAGTTCAAGAACCTGCCCACAACCCTCCAGCCATCACAGCAGCAAAAAATAGAAGATTCGAACTGCATCTGAACATGATCGCATCTAGTGTTGTAGTGCAGACTTACGCAAGGGAAAACTTGTAGAAACCAGAGGACGAGCACTGTTTTACTTGTTTGATCAGGCCTGTCAGAATGCACAAATACCATTTGCAGGTTAAGTATTCGTCCCAATCAGTGAAAGCTTAAAAATCTGCAGAATTTGTTTCAAATTTCAGATGCACATCTGAAGAATCTATTAACAATGTATAACACTTATTCGTGTACAAGTCTAAACATGTATACTAAGTAATTTTGATTGTCTTCCAAAACGTATAAACAAATTGTTTTTAATTGTTAAGTTCTATACAATTTATTAATATGCAGAACATGACCAGCGAGTGGCAAAATAATTAGTGCAAATGTGAAAATCGGTACATGAAGTAGTCATGGTGTAAAATTCCAGACTGGACAGTGCACAAGCAATGCAGTTGCGTAGGACAGTCGCATTGTCATATAGCACACCTCTGAACGCATGCTTGCACTAATCTTCGAACGTGTACACCCAGATAGCAATGTCCCCGTCATCACTGCAGGATGCCAACAACCCTGCCTGCTTGGGGTTCCAAGCCACACAGTTGACATCCTGAGTGTGTGCCTTTGGAATGTGGGCCGTGAGTGAAAAGGTGGGTTGGTGTGGGTCCGAATTAGGGTCCTTCTCAAATATCCGGATTGCATCATCACCGCATGCAGTTGCTATCGCATCCGTCATGTGACACCTGAAAGAAATAGGCAATGTGAACAGGTTGCTCAGCAGTTATTGTGCTAAGACTTCACGAAGATGTTCAAGATCAAGGGTTTCAATAGAGCTAATATGAATAAACCCGTGTCACGGTGCTCAATAATCAAGCAAACACAGATTTAGGTTGCTTGGTGAAAAGCCACAAAGAGAAAATGTTTTCTGAAATGCACCAAGTCAGGATATAGAAGCAACAGATTAAATTTAAAACTGGATAAATAGATTTGAAGAAACTGGCTGAAAACTGAATTCTTCAATGGATGGCTCCACCTGAGATCCAAAAGAGGCATTGGGCCAAGTGCCTCGCAACTATCCTGTTTCTTCACACCAGTCAGAATGAGGGTGGTATTGGTGTGACAGTCATAAAAGCATTTGAAAAGGTTACTGATGGAATAATGTCTTTGAACTCACCAAGAAATGTCATAGATAGGGCGACTGTGGAAGCCAGATAGAGTGCAGATACATTTCCAAGAAAGATCTGATCCACTGCATATCACACCTGCGCCAAAAAGATAATCAATTAGCATATCCAAGTGAGACTGATTCCCAATGCACAATCAAAATGTTGCAGTGTTTCAGGTTGGAAGGGAGACATTTGAAAAACATGCAACACTGTTTTGTCAACAATACAAAAACCTTTAAGGAGTAATCATTTTTAATTGGCCTCTTGAAATATTAACTCAAAAGCCACCTCATCTGGGACCAGATAACTTGAGGCAGAACCAGATGGGCTGGAATCTTCTCTTCTAACTGTATTCCAAGTCACAAGCCTCACTTCCAACCAAGATCAGAGAACAAGTTTCCCCATACGGCTTGAGGTGATGCTGATGAAAATTCGTGGGCCAGGAGCCCTGGCAGTTGAACCAGCAGAGCCCAGCCCAGGAATCCACACAAACAGTAGTGGAATACTTTGTCACAGCTGCAGTGGGGGCTGGAAGCTCAGGGGATTTGGATGTCCAATAGAGTATTTGGTGTCAGGTTCTTCTTTCCATGCTGAAGTGTTATTACACACAACTGAATGCTTCTTTTCCCCTCCACTCATCACCCATCTTCTCAATTATTCAGATTACTGAAAGCCCAAAAACAACAGTGTAATGAGACCAAAAGGTGAGAGAGGGGGTTGGGTGACAGGGAGGGGATTAAATCAAAATAGAGTTGAAGGGGTAGATAAGGCACTCCACCCTGCAGTTGCACCTCTCTCTGCAGGCAAGTGTCATGAGTTTTAGACTTAAACATTTCACAAGATGATGATAATTATAACATCATGCTCAGTTCAGTTACTCTACCTTGTTCATTGCCAGGCCTGTAAGCTTTCCAGATTTTAACAGTTTTGTCATCACTGCAAGATACCAAATGCTCTCCCGTTTTATCAAATGCGATGCTCCAAACTGTAGACTCATGACCTTCAAGAGTGTTAACACAGACCCAGTCATCATCTTCCTCCTTATATAGCTTAATGCTATTATCATAGCTTCCAGAAGCCAGGAACTAGTGTTGAATTCAAAAATACACATTCACAGTTACTTGTACAGTCCTTATTATGTCGCGTCTTTGAAAAGGTACGTCAGTATCTGGCTCATAAGACAACATATCCAATCTAAATCAGAAAACACGGATACTGCAAATAACTATGTGGTTCTTCTGAACTCTTACCTCTCCATTTGGATGCCAGATTACATGTTTGACATCCTGGGTATGAGCATTCAGTACACTCACACACTCATAATCATCATCTTCATCCACTAAAAGGCAAATGAGAATGTCATCAATAGTTTTTGATATAGAGCCCTTACTCGATGGACTGAGCTGTAATCGTTCAGCACAGTGCACTACTAATTTCAGACAGCTGAGAGTCTGTGACAGGCCTGCGGTTTATAAAACCATACACAGCATTTTAGTTTATTACTGATGGGGAAATTAACGAGTCATAACATCTCCATGATTAAACAGGACGAGGAACTGGTCCTGGTGTCCATTGCATCACCTGATTGGTTTCTGAATCTATTAATGCAGTTGGATCATTATTCCTCAGTATCTCAGACTCAATCTCATCATAAATCAAGTTTTGCAATGTCCACACCTTTTGGGGCAAAAGGGAAGTTACATGTTTATACGGTGCTCTGGATGGAAATTATGTCCTGGTTCAGCTGGTCACTGGACCCGAAACGTTAACTCTGAATTTTTCTCCACAGATGCTGCCAGACCTGCTAAGCTTTTCCAGCAACTTCTGTTTTTGTTCCTTATTTACAGCATCCGCAGTTCTTTCAGTTTTTATGTGAAATAATCTGATTTTATTTGTGACTCTTGCATCCATTCAAGGTTTACTGTGCCTTTATAACATTTTTCTCCCCCTACATATTTTGTTATGTCTTGTACTTTATGTTGTCATTGAGATTATACATGATCTTTAAAGGAGTTGATGGCAGAGGGTTGACATCATTACAATCGGCATTGACAGGTCGAAGTCAACGTTCTGCAGAATGTGGGTTTGGATCATGACAGCCAGTCAAATTTAAATTCAGTTAACAAAATATGGAACTGAAAACAGATCTGAGCAACAGTGATCATAATACTATTAATGTGTGTATTAATTTGATGGATGATTTTTAGGTAAGGAAACCTGCAATCCTTACTCGTTCATGTACAGTGATTGAGTCTTAACAAGTTGGGATAGCCCATGAAAGAATATACCCTTTATAAGAAAGAATACTACACCCTTTATACAAATTATCAATATCGTGGGTGACTTTTAAGGCTCAACGGCCAAGACATATCCCATTGAATTATGCAAATTTCAAGTACAAAAGAGGCTTTCTGGCCCATCATGTTTGTGCCAGCTGAGTCTGATGCTTTTAAAATTCAGAACTTCAAGTGCATATCAAGCAACCGTTTAAAATATTAAGGGGTTTCTGCTTCTACCACCATTTTAGACAGGTGTCTCGGGTGCTTTTTACAGAAATGGCATTTTCAAAGGGTATTCTATGCAAAATATCTTCTCACCTTCCCAAACCCATACACTTTTATCCCGGCTGCAAGTTGCAAGGAGATTGCCAGATGGAGCCCAGGCGACAGATTTCACTTCATTCTCGTGTCCTTCCAGTGTTGTCAAAAGCTGTGAAAACAAACACCAGGCTGAGAAATAAACACTCAAACTTATACCAAGTCCATTCCATCGAACAGTTCACAGAAGACCCAAAATAACTAACACATTTATCTCACGTTTTAAGCTGACCCGAGACTCAAGTTATCAATAAAATTGCTGCCAGAAATGTCGCCAGCATTATTTTGAAAACATTGTTTCCAAAAACCGTTTCAGAACGCAATGACAGCAGTGGGTTCGGCAGGACGTTCTGCTCATCTGAGTCTTGCAGACTGATAAAGCTGTACAGCATGAAAACAGACCATTCAGTCCAACTCAACCAGATATTCCAGATTAATCTAGTCCCATTTACCAGCATTTGGCCCATATCCCTCAAAACCCTTCCTATTCATATACCCATCCAGACACCTTATAAATGTTGTGATTGACCCAGCTTCCACCACTTCATTTGGCAGTTCAATCTGTACACGCACCATCCTCTGCGTGAAAAAGTTGCCTCAAGGTCTCTTTTAAATCTTTCCCCTCTCACGTTTAACCTATGCCCCCTAGTTTTGGACTCACCAACCATGGTAAAAAACGTTGGCTATTCACCCTATCCATACTTTTACAAACTTCGAAAAGGTCACCCCTCAACATCTGACATTCCAGGGAAAATAGTTCCGGCCTATTCAGCATCTCCCTATAGCTCAAATACTCCAACACTTGCAACATCCTTCTCTTACTAACTAAACATATGTCTCATTCTCAAATACACTTAATAACCCAATCTTGACAGTCGTCTGCAGTGAAGAATTTCACAGATTCACTATCCCTAGGGAGAAGAAATTCCTCCGTTTCTGTCTTAAATGAATGATCCTTCATTACGAGATTCTGCCCTCGACACCTATTCCCCAAGAAAGTGATTCAACCTTTTTTTTCTTTATTCATCACAGGATAAGGGCTTCGCTAGCTTGACTGCATTTATTGCCCATCCCTAATTGCCCAGAGCGCAGTTAAGAGTCAACCACATTGTTGGAGTCTGGAGTCACATGTAGGCCAGACCAGGAAAGGATGGCAGTTTCCTTCCCTTAAGGACATTAGTAGACCAGATGGATTTTTCCTGACAATCAACAATGGATTCACGGTCATCATTAGATTCTTGATTCCAGATATTGAATTCAAATTCGACCATCTGCCATGGCGGGATTCCAACCCAATTCCCCAGAACATTATCTGGGTCTCTGGACGAACAGTCCAGCGATAAAACCACTAGGCCATCGCCTCCTCTCTCTATCTACCTTGTCAAATCCCCTCAGGATATTTTATGTTTCAATCAGGTCACCTCTCATTCTTCTGTATTCTAACGAGTCTCCACAACACCTCCTCAGAATGCAGTCCCTCCATACCCAACCCAGTAAATCTTCTCTGGACTGCCTGCAATCACAGTGTGTATCTCCTTCTTCGCAAAATATCCCTACTTTCAATAGAAGGCCAACCTTTCTTTGCCTTCTTTGATCCCACTGAATTTGTGGGCGATTCCCCTGGTTCTGGATTCTGTCCTCTCCACGTCCGTCCTGTCAAGATCCGCTCCCACCCCCCACTTCAATCTCATCTCGGTCCACAGGACGAAAATGAGAGAGAGAGACAGACAGACAGACGGCTTCTTGAACCCTCTTCCTCCACCTCCACGGCGCGGGGGGGCACATCGCCAGGCCTCAGCTATCAGCAGGAGCAGCGAGTTCAGAGTACGCTACCTCAAATGCGGCCTCTTTCTTCCTCCAGATGCAGGTGGTGGCGTCGAAGCTGACCGAAGCCAGGTAGGTACCGCAGGGCGACCAAGAGACCTTCCGCACGGTCCGCTGGTGCCCATCTTCCAGGAGGCACTTGCACAGCCAGGAGGCCCCTGGGGGGTGTGGAAAAACAAGAGTCGGGAGAATGAAATGTGGTTGTCCAGGCCTCGTACCCCCCGCCCCGGCAGACCAATCGGGAAGCCGCTCGCACCTTCTCTGGCCCAGATACGCACTGCCCGATCGCCTCCACACGAAGCCAGCAGCGTACCGCTCGGGCTCCAGGCCACATACCAGGCCCGGGAGTCGGGATGCGCGGAGAAGCGGGACTCGAGCGTCAACCGCCACTTCATCCCAGGCGCGCGGGTGACCTCCCCCGAACCAGACGCGCCTTCGCCGCCGCGACTCCTGCTCGGGATTGGTTGGAGGTCTCGCCCGTATCCAGTTTGTATTGGCGAAGACTCCCGTCCATCAAGAACAGATGTCACCAATCACCAAGGCGCAATCTGGCCCAACGTTTCGGACGTCACATCCGGATCGGAAACGGGTGCGAAGCTGATGGTTGCTCTCTACTAAATTATTGTCGTCGTCGTCGTCGGTCACTGACATCGGAGTTTTGGTGGTTAGTTGGTTTCTTGCGGCGGCCCAGGCCGGAAAGGACAATGTATGGACCTGCGGGAGCCGGTCTGTCAGGATCGCGCCGGCGTTCCGGAGCCGGGGGAGCTCTACCGAAGCAAACGGAGCGGAGCTTGGCGTCGGCGGTGCCGGGCGCGCTTTCGGTGACTGCGCTGTGCACGGCGCTGGCGGAACCGGCCTGGCTGCGCGCGCACGGGGGCATGTGCCCGCGGCAGGAGCTCGGTGTCGCGGATGTTCTGGGACGCCTGGACTCGTCCCTGCTGGAAGGTAATGAATTGGGAAGGTAATATGTGAACTTAGGTGGAGACCGAGAGGAGAGGGCGGTGCTGACGCTTCGGTTCAGTATCGCAGGAATGCATTCCGTACTTCCTCTTTCCCTGCCTTGATATTGGACATTGTAATTTGTCAAGATTCCCCACCACCTTGCCACTGTGTCAGATTCCCTGTCCACCTTCGAAGGGCAAATTGGGACTTGTTACTTGTCCATGATACCGAGAAAAATCGCGCATTTCACGACGACGAGGTGTCCCAAATCCGGAAGCGCAACAAACAAGGTCCCAGTGACCTGATCGTCCGAATCCCTGCGGTGGAGTAGGCCATTCGGCTCGTCCAGTCCATACCGCTCCTCCAAAGAGCATCCCGTCCGCCCCTCAACTTTATCCCTGCAAGCCTGTATTTCCCATGGCTAATCCATGTAGCCTGCACATCCTTGGTCACTACGGGCAATTTAGCATGGCTGATCCATGTAACTTGCATATCTTTGGATTATGAGAGGAAACTGGAGCAGCTGGAAAAAACCCAGGCAAACCTGGGTAGAATGTACAAAGTCCACACAGAGTCACCCGAGGGTGGAATTGAACCTGGGCCCCTGGCGCTGTGAGGCAGCAGTGCTAACTATTGAACCACATGATGCCTTAATACCAGATACTGGTCAGAAGTCGAGCAATTATTACTACTTGTTTGGAACATCTATTGTCCACCTGAGAGAGACTCCATTGTGTTGAGAGGGCATGTCAGACCACACAATACTCCCTCAATTGAGCAATGGAATGTGAATCTTGGTTTTGAGTCCAACAGTGGACTTGAGCCCATAACCTGTGACTCAGAGGCAAGAATCCTACCAACAAAGTACCAGCTGACAAGAAGTAAATTGCTGGAAAAATCCAGCAAGTCTGGCCACATCTGTGGAGCAAAATCAGCGTGACCATTTGGGGTCCACTGACCCTTTTCCAGAATGCTGCCACTGAAATCCATTTGCAACACGAATCTTGACATCAGAGGGAAGAAAATCTTCCTCCTTACTTTAAACAATGAGTTGGAGTTAGTGGAAAGTTACAGTTATGTTAAAAAATAAACTTCTGTATTATTTTAGTTGCTTCAATGATCTTGAATTTTGCTTGATTGTTGATTACTTGGTGAAACGGCATGACACTCAATCTTTTGGTCTCCAGATTATTGTATGAACCGTCAGACTGTGCTCCTGTTGCGGGTCATTGGTGCCTTCTGTTTCCTGGGGATTATTTGCAGTTTGTCTGCTTTTCTCCTTGATGTGTTTGGACCAAAACATCCAGCATTGAAGATTACTCGTAGATATGCCTTTGCTCATATTCTCACAGGTATGTCCAAGTGAAACTAGATGTTTGTAAATGTGATATCTTGATCTGGCTTTATTTTTAATCCTTAAACCACCATTATGCAAGGTGCTTTTGAAATGATGATTACATCCTCAGAAGGAAGATGTTTCTACTTGGAGAATCAGCAAGTGTGGTATTAACACGAAGTGCATAAGTACAGGTTTCCCACTTGGTGACTTCCTCCTTCAGCTCTGCTGCTGAAGTGCATGAGCAGGAGGCCCTTCATTATCATATTGTTGTTTTTTCTTTTGAGTACATATTTTTCCATATTTTTCCATATTTCTAAATGAAACACAACTGCTAATGCTGAAGATCTGAAACAAAAACGGAAATTGCTGGTGAAATTCATGTCCAGTAGCATATGTGGGAGAAAGCAGAGTTCCTGTTTCAAGTCCAGTGACTCTTCAAGCAAATGTTATGAAGAATTGCTCTTAATGTCCTCTGGGTAATTAGGGATGGGCAATAAATGCTGGCCGAATTATGAATTATGTGAAAGAGGTGCTTGCCTCTTCAGAACTGATTAATTATAATTGTTCTGCCATTGTTTTGTGCAGGGTTGTCCCCTTTCTTCATAAGGGGTGATGATTTGGCATTTGGCACAGCAGTAAACATGAATTTCAGAAAAAAACTCCAAGCAAAAAAAGAATAATGCAAATGAATAACTTAAAGTGGCTGTAAAAATATGTCAAACAGCAGGTGTTCAGCTTTTGGGGTGAGAAAAAGAGTTTGAGGCTACTGGACCCAGTAGCCTTTCTCCCCAGGGTAGGGAGCGGAGATCGAGCTTGGGCTTGGTTGAATTTAAAACAAACACCAACCAAAATACTCCGACTTGGTAATGCATGCTTCCAGCTGACTTCAGTGGAGTTGGGAGAAAAGTGGGCATCAGGAGCAGGTTAATTTCAGCTTGTGCTCTTGCAACCCACTTTGTGGGTATGAATTTGAAAAGAGGAGAAAATGGTTTCCGTGTATCCACCTCGCTGTGAACTTTTACCTATTTACACCCCAGCCGACTTGTAGACAAGATTGCTGTCTTACCCTAGTGTCCTTACTCCATCTCTTGTCCCCTTCCAACCACTTGTGAGCACTCGCTTTGCATGTACAAACTCTGTTGATATGCATCATTACCCTTTCCTACTTCTGTACATGCTACCCCACACGCACCTTCCCTTCCTCCTTTTTCCCATGTGAATGATGGCTTTGTTTGCTTGGCTGGCTATCTTCCAATTAGACCCCAGTTGTTTCCCATGTTTCCTCCTGATTGGTTCACTAAATTGTCTGTGCTTAGAGGAGCATCTCATTGCATAACCTTCCAATTCTGTTTGGAATCCTGGCAGCAAACCTTATGGTGTAGAAGCCTGGTGGATAAGGATGAATTAACCATATGAGATTTGTTCAAATTTTGTCCTGGCACCCATCATCCTTGCTCCACTCACTGTCTTTGTTTGTTATTTGCAGTTCTGCAATGTGCTACGGTGATTGGGTTCTGTTACTGGGCCTCAGAATTAATCCTCGCACTTCAGCAGCAACACAAAAAATATCATGGTTCCCGTGTCTATGTGACCTTTGCAGTTAGCTTTTACTTGGTGGCAGGAGCTGGAGGAGCATCAATCTTGGCAACGGCTGCTAACCTCCTCCGACACTACCCAACTGAGGAAGAGGAACAAGCGCTGGAACTGCTATCAGAAATGGAAGAGAACGAACCATATCCAGTGGAATATGAAATTGTCAACCAGTTCCAGCCTCCACCTGCCTACACGCCCTGAATCTCGGGACACATTATTTTCTCATCTCAAGTCTCACTTCACTTGACTGTTCAAACTTGTTCAGTGGAATTCTCAACCTCAAGCACTTCACTCCAACGCCTCATCATCCTTCCTGCTTGGAGGCCCAATGCTCTGATCATCTCAACTACAAAAATGTTGGTTGTATTTTCAGTGAATCAACTTGTCCAGACATGTTATGATGCTTCTCTAGGATAGGTGAGACAAGAACCTGGGTGTTCTAGCCCAGAGGTAGATATACTACCCCTGTGTCACAAGACCCTATGAATATGTTTTTGTGCTCTTGAGGGTTGATGAGACCTTTGAGTGAGTTGGAGTTGACTTCTCAAGTGACCATATTTGTTAAAGAGGCAGTACCTTTTTAACTTCGGAAGGCTGTATTTGAACATTTGTAAAGTTGAACATTTTATAGACTTTAAAACTTTTAATGCTTTAAATAAACTACAATCATGTGCTTTTGTTATTACATTGCTTTGGAAGTATTTGAAGTAGTCAAAACAATTTGATTCTTAAACGTGTCAGTGTTCTTCCAAAAGGATTTGGATATTTTCTGCCCATAATTCAGTATTGCAAGTTGCCGCAGTCGAAAGGATACTGTCTCTGATTTCTTAGTCAGAAAGTAAGCATCTGCTTGTTCGCACCTTGGTCTTTAATCACTCACACATTTTACAGCTTGCCTCATTTACACAAAGGAAATATTTTTCAATTATTCAGCAGAGAGATCAAGGGAGCCTTTCAGAAATCTTTTGTGGGGGGCAGGGAAATTTACAGTTCACATTCTGGAGTTGTCATGCTGCTGAACTGACCAACTGGGATTTGTTTACCTTCAGTTTGATTAGTTGTTTTGCTTGAAGTTTTTCTTCCCTGTCCTAATTATGTTGGAAGAGGAGTTAAAAGGACTAAATTAGATTCTGAAGAATCTAATCAGCTTTTAGAATACTACAACACAAACAAGTTCCTAGTGTGGCTTCATAAGATCAGTCATTACTGCCTCATGAACGTATATGGGCAAATTTTGTCACATTTAGTCATAAGTAAGCAAAAACTTATCCCAGAGATAGCTTTCAAAGGAGAGGGAGTTGACTACAGAAATCCCAGACTTCCCCATTTGTTGTCCATTGCATTCTTCAAAGTTGAGCTTACTAACATGGACAAAAAGAAATATCAACACTTGAGTCTAAATAAGGTGCCATAATGTCAGTGGTTTACTGAAATCCATCTATTGACACAGCTGGACTGTTATACTCCATTCGGTACAAGTGGAAGGGTTACACTGTTGAATGGTAACAACATCAACAAGGGATTATTTTAAACGGAGTCTTTGGTGTTTTACTGATTCAGAGCATGCAAAGTACATATTTGGACTTGGAGGTACTGTAGCTGTCATCGTAATAGTTTGTTTTAATGACAATTGTGTCTCATGTGAAGTGGGATATCTAAACTTGTCTTTGGATCTAGAAGACACTGTATCCTAAGCAAGGTACTCTCCCTTCCTCAAGTCCAATTAAGTTCAGATTTGAGGAAACAAGATGCCCTGCCTGAGCAACAGCTCCAACTGTTGTCATTTTTCAGGCATGCTGTTGTAGTAAATGACCAAAATTAAACTGCATTGTCAACCAAAAATACACATTCATTTTGTAGAATCGTTCACACCCATACTCAATCATTTCCTGTGGACCTCTGTTTCTGTCTTAGCATAATCTCTTACTGACTTTGCAGATTGAGCATGAATGCACTTTATGATGGATGATGTGAGGGTGAACTAACAAGAACAACCCTTGGTGAGTAACATTAGATTCAACAGAAAAACCTAAACACTGCCCCACTTCTCCTCAAACCAAAAACTTCCAGCAATCACTTAGGCAACTGTGTTTATTTTATCAAGCAACAGCCAGCTGTTGAGTAATTTGTAAATATTCCCCTATCAATGTTACAGAAAGCTACAGCACTATTCCCAACAATCTCAGAACAATGGGGCTTAATCTTCTCAATTATAATCAGCTCTGACTGACAACAGTCAATAAAATGCATAGAATTGGTGCCAAATCCTTTGCATGCTGTCTGCAAAAATCAATGCATTAGGATTTAAAGATGTGCAAACGTTGTTAGTAGTACGTCTGTACAGCTAATGACTTTTAATAAATATGGAATTACAAGCCAGATGAGTCACATTTTTGTAAATATCCCCATTTATCATCCACCTACAAAGCAAAACTTAATTTGTAGGACAAGGTCATAAGTCACGCGACACCAAGTTGTAGTCCAACAGGTTTATTTGAAATCATGTGCTTTCAGACTGCATCAAGTGAAGTTCACCTGACTGAGGAGCAGTGCTGTGAAAGCTTGAGATTTCAAATAAACTTACTGGATGATAACCTGGTATCATGTGACTTCTTATTTGATCCATCCTAGTTCAACACCTGCAGCTTCACGTCATAATTTGAAGTAATTGGCAAGCCTCTATTCCTAACTCAGTTTGAGGTTTATTGGCCCCATAACTGTTTTCTGGTCCAGTTTGGCAAGGTGGTCTCTGCGTCTGTTCCGGCACCTGATCCATCTGCCACTGGAAAGGTGTCTGCCTGTACACTTCAAGCAACTTGCAAACAATGGCTCAGAAGAAAGACTGGATACAAGGGACAACCCCCCCACAAAATTTGTCAGTTGGGTTTCTATTATTTGTATGCGTTGATGGTATGGAAAATCAGGCATATTTCAAAACAAAACAGTATAAAGTAAATTCAACAGCGGCTTCTATGTTACCAGATAGCAAGAACTGCAGATGCTGGAGTCAGATAACAGTATGGAGCTGGAGGAACACAGCAGGTCAGGTAGCATCAGCGGAGCAGGAAAGCTGACGTTTCGGGTCGGGAACCTTCTTCAGAAATGGGGAGGGGGAAGGTTGCTCAGAAATAAATAAGAGGAGGGGTGGGATGGTGATAGGTGAGTGCAGGGAGGGAGTGGTGAGGATTGGTCAATGTTATGAGAGGGGTGGATAGGTGGGAGAGAAGATGGACAGGTTGCGTCAGGTCAAGGTGGTACAGATGAGACAGAGGCTCAGACATGGAATGAGGCTAGGGGTGGGGAGATTTTAAAACTGGTAAAATCCACATTTGGGCCATTGGGTTGTAGGCTCCTGAAGCGGAATATATGGTGAGCTCCTGCAGTTTGCAGGTGGCGCTACTGTGACACTGGAGGAGGCCTGGGATCGACATGTCACCCAGGGAGTGGGAGGGGGAAGTTAAAATGGTTGGCAACCAGGTGTTGTCATTTGTCACTGAGAGCGCACAGATGCTCTACAAAATGGTCTCTGAGTCTATGCTTGGTCTCACCAATGTAGAGGAGGCCACACTGGGAGCAGCGGATACAGCAGACCAAGTTGATAGATGTGCAGGTGAACCCCTGTCTGAACAACCAAACTACCACTGTAACAGTAGCACACATCTGTAAATAAAAGCTCATTGATATTGCAACTGCATCAAGCACTTAACAATCAACAAGTTATTTCATCAACTTATTCAGACATGTGGTCTCGAATGCCTGGGACAAGTGAGATGCGGCCCTAACTTGCTAAAGACACTGCTGTTTTGTCAAAAAAATGCAAATAACCAACTACATACTATGTAAGATGGGATGATTGTACTTCAGGGCTATGAAGTCACCAATTTACACGCAGCAATCTGAACATAAATAGGACATGCCTCAAAGGTTTACCCTTGGCCATGACACAATTGAGAACTCACTGTCCTTTCTTCCTACCCCAGTATCCAGAAGAGCGCTTCTACATAACTGAATTTTCTTTACCTTCCCATCACCAAACGACCTGCAATGTATCTTCACCTATGAACCACCGCCAATAAATTACCCATGTTTTCAAACTGATTTATGTGCTAAGCCTATTAAAGTCAATGCAGGCCAGGAAAGGTGATAGGCAGGGAGCTTCCTGTCCTCCTTGGAAAAATGCACTCATTCTGTGCAAATTAGAGACTGTGGAGGCCTTGATTTGAGCCACTGAACGTTTCTTCTAATCCATAGGCCTGGAGAAATGCTTCAAAGACACAAGTATAGATACTGCAACAACAGCTGAACAAATCTAGTTTATGAAACAAATCTAAATAAAAGCCATTTTTCTGGAGGTCACAATTAAACTGTTGCAAGATTATGATAGTCCAAGTAATTCACTGATAGCTTCAAGCAAAGGAAATGTACCATCCTCCTGCAAACAGGCCAAAAAGATTCCAGACCAACAGCATTTTGAGTGATTCGTCATCAAAGCCATTCATTTCTCAAAAAAGCAGTTCAAAACATAATTACATACGAGCAATAAATACTGACATTGCCTACAATGCTTCTGTTCTGTCAAAAAGTTAAAAAAAAAATCTTTATTCCACTTTATTTTACAAAGACAACAGTTAAAATACAAGTTTAAAATCGTCTTCAAATGACAGTTGGATGGAAAGGTAACATGTCTATCAAAAAGTTGTCTCTGCAATATTCATCAGGGTGTTAATCATTTAACATAAATCTCAAATCATAATTTCAACACTGAAAAGTTGCCAATTGGTTGTCTAAATAAATTCTTTATACAAATAAAGGAAAGCATCCATGGGGTCAAGTAATAGCCATGATACAAGGCTCACTGTCCAAGAAAAGATTTACAAATATGTACAGCCCCTCCAACTTATGTTTTACATATATGTACAATCAGAATGTCTTCAGATTCCTTGCTCGATGATAACATCAGATAAATCTTCCTTGCCCTCAATTGCAAGATTCTGTAAGATAACAAAACATTGATTTAAATTTGCATACTACCATAAAACCCTCGTCTGATCTATTTGTCTGCAGCACAAGAACCCTGTTGCTCTTGTCTGTTGTTAACAGGTTACAAGGGCAAACCATGCAACTTGACTTGTAACTCATGTTGTTCCTTCACTCATTTACTCCTCGAACTTGTGGCAGATACGTACCTTTTCATTGGCTAAATGAAGCAAACAGGCAAATGCCATAGGAACAGACAGGTTCTTTGCCATTGTACTCGGTAATCTGTCAATATAAGAGAGTACAAATTAAACACAAAACTTCACAGATATAACCAGTTGTGCAGAGACATCGGTATGATGTATGCTGGCACAATGGTACTATAACGGATAATACAGATGTTCCAAGAAGGTCTGGATCAAGGTTCAAGACACATCATTTTTAACTTCACCAAGACAGCTAGTTCAAAAAATCTACGCAAATAAATCTTGAATAAAAAACAAAAATTGCTGCAAGAGCATAAAAATCTTGTTGAATTTTACCACTCCATCTAATACACAAATGTGTCATTGAAAGGAAAGGAAATCTTTTGTCCTTCGTCTGATCGGACTTACATGTGACAGCAAACTTATTGTTAATCCTGACCTTCTCTTTGAATGGCCTAGCAAGGCACTTAATTTTCTCAACGCAGAGAAAAGTCAAGAGGAA